AGTGAGGTGGCGGCCCCGCCCCGCCCCGGCCAGGCAGCCTCAATCGAGCGCGGGCGGGCCGAGGGCAGCGTCGCCTGCCTGGTGTATCGTAATGGCTGTATCGGTGCCGTCGCTTCAACCCTCTGCCACGCGCAAGCAAGAAATAATAGTAAAATTGCTCAAAAAGTACGGTCATTTTTGAGGCAGCCCGTGTACGACCCGAGCCCCTCTCGGGGAGTCTGAGCTGACTTTTGTGGGTGCTGCTCGCCTCAAAGAAAGCTTCAACTTCGGTGACCCGGTTCGCACTCGCTGCAGTGAGCAAGGCAACAGAAATAAGACGTGTTTGCATGTGTTTCAGGAAATATGATAATGCTGAGCTCCCAGTACGATTGCTTCATATTTAGGACCCGGCAGGGCTGGCCGAGAGAGGGGGGAGGGTGCTGCGGTGCCGCTCCCAGCCCACCTCCCTCACTCCTGGCAGCGGCGAGGAGGGAGCACCGCAGTGCAACACAGCGGCCGCTTCACAACACGACACAACAGTCCTCCAGCAGCTGCAGGGGAGGGGAGTCGGGGCAGGGGGCAGCTGGTGTCTAGGAAAGACCAGTCCTCCCCCTGAGCCTGGTGCCCAGTGCGGATGCCAGAAGAGCAGATTTCAGGTGGGGATAGGGTCTCCCGTGAGGGTAGTCACCCTGGACTATGCGCTGCCTAGGGGTAGGCTCAACCGGTTGCTCCCTGTCAGGTGAGGGGGTTAGATCCTTAGCACCCTCTGATGGCAGCAGGCCACTGCGTCCCCAGGCTTTGTGGCCCTTGCAAGTGAAAGTGCGACAAAGCCCTTTATTGGCCTGCTGGGAGCTTGCCCAGCACCCAGGCGAGGCCAGGATGGGAGACAAAAGCAGCAAAGGTGGAGCTGGATGTAGGCCAAGTGTGCTTTCCCCTCTCCTCCTGCCCACCAGCCTCAGCCCTGGCATCTAACTTGGGGGAAGACCCAGATGCAAGGTGTTTCAAAAGCAAATGCTGAAAGATGGGCAAGCAGGATCCAGGAGCAACACCCTGAGAGAATCTCAGACTGGGTACTCCTGGCTTTGGGGAGGTTGAACAAAGAGCATAAATTAATAAAGCCAACTGAAATCAATCCTGGGGTCCCTGATTTATTCATCATTCAGAGCAAGAACCCAATCTCCAAAGCCCCCCAGGAATGATCTGTCCACTAGCTTGATATATAAAAGGAGAGGCAGGGCCTTCTCTTCCATTTTGAAAGTAGGGCACCTCCCACTGCATTGCATAGTGACACTCATCCATTAAGTGTGCTCCAAGACCACCTACTGGATTGAGTCCCTCCAGAAACTAGGCAAAGGAACATAGTTTCTGACAAGGAAGAGGCTGCTGCGGTGTGAGAGGCTCCAAGCTGCTCAGCCTCCTCAAGACTGAGATGCTTTGGTGAAGAAGCACAACTTAGACACCTGGGAAAGGTTAAAGGCCCAAACCAAAGGGACCTATACAGCTGAGGTGCCTCCAGATTTAGGTGGTGGCTGGACATGAATTTTCAGGAGTGCACATTTAGATTTGGCTCTTAAATTTCTCTCATCTTTTTCTTTTTTTTTTTGGATCTAGCTTTACAGACCCTGTGGTTAGAGCCCCAACTTCTAGCCTCACATGATGAAAATAAATCTCAGCAATTAAACAAAATGTTTTTAACCTTCACTTGTGCAGAGAACTTGAAAGCATGAACAGAAGGTACCCAACACCAGGGCATGTAGATGACCTGAAACAGTACTTCTACAGAAGGTATGAACTGTTTCCCTCATCTCCTCTTGAGATGTGCTGCCAGTTCAAGGAAAAATGGAGCTACAGCACAGGAACAGGACAGTGACATGGAAACTATTTGCAACGTATCTGGGACCCCTTACTGTTTCCTTTATATACTCAACATGTCACATGCTGTTACATGTAACATACTACAAGTTAAGCCCTCCAGATTTTCTGTTCCTCCCTGCAAGTCAATACTGTTGCCAAATAGAATGGAAAAAGATATGCAAGACACTGGTGATCATCTGTCTTAAAAGATCAGTCTTATCTAATTCAGTGTGTCCCGCTGTTCTTTCTTCAACTTAAATGTTGCAGCTGACAGACCTTTGCCTGGTGATTAATGACAAGAATAGCAATAAGAACCTCAACAAACCAACTTATCCATGTGTAATCTTCACACGTTCCATGTAGTCCAGTCCCCAATTAACAAAGAAGCAAGAGCAAAGACCAGCTAGTCACCTCTGACAGTTTTTCCTGATTTTCATTTGGATCTTGAAGTGACAGTGTGCCTTTGTCCTTTAGTCTGCCTTTGTCCTTTTCTCCTCACTCCTCTACAATTGCCAAATCTGGCTGCTTCTTCCTTCACTTTTACACTACCAGGGTGCCAGCAGTGGAGGCACTGAGGGACAGGACAGACTCTCTCCTGTCAGTTTTGGCATCTAACACCCCAGTAGTTCTCACTATCTAGGAGAAGCAAATGCAGGAAAAATCCTGCTCAGCCCCGCAAGTCTCAGAGGGAACAAAGTTAACTGTAGTATATCTAGGGGTAGGCTAGCAGGCCACCAGTCCTAGGCACCAAATAAGAGCAGGTACAAGAATGGCAGCCCCGGGGCACAAATCCTTCCTAGGTAAGTCTCTGACAGCTAACTGTATGTGTCCTGACAGGACATGTGCATGCTTGTTGCACATGGAATATCTGAAGACAAAAGCTGCCAGCCCAATAAACATACAAGTTGTGTTTTTAGAAGCTTATAACGTTTATTATTTAACTCGCATACAGTAGTCTGAAGCTGGTGTGACATTACTTAGAAATGGATCGTATTCTACCAGGAAAGGAGGCAAAAAAATCCCTGAGTCAAGTCCCTAGGGGTCCAGCAGTAACCCCACACCCAGGAACAGCTCTTTACTCTTCCCAGGGTGGAGGAATTGGCACTTCAAGCAACAGCTCACAGCCCTTTGGTAATGGTAATGCCTGATAGCCCAGAGCTGTTTGGTAGTGGTGAAAGATATGGGGAGGAAGAAAATATTCCTCAGTGGCTGCCTCACAGTAACAGACCAAAGCCTTCCATTGTTTATTCCCTTGGCCAAGTCCTACAATCATCTGTGCTCACACAGGTCTGCGAAATACTGAGTGTCACAGGAATATTTTTTATCCAATTTTATCTTGCAAGACCAAGACGCCTCTTGTAGTGGATTTCTCTCCTTGGTCACTCAGGAAACTGAAACACATTGTATAGCCTAGATCAGATAACTAACTCAAGTACATTATTTATAGTCAAGCAGAAGGTAAGACAGGATGCCACTCTAGGCTGCCTATACACATGCTTGGGGGCGGAAGGTGGGGCATTTTAATTTGAGCAGTTTCCAGAGAGCTGCTCTAATTAAAATTCCACAGCATCACATGTATTAATCCCTTGTATATTTAAAAATGAATGCAGGATGCTTTAACTAAAGTGCACGCAATAAGCTTTAGTTAAAGCACCGCAACAGCCATTTTTAAACCCATGGGAGCTTATATATGTGATGCTAGAGCGTTCTAATTAGAATACGGAGCAGACCTGATTAATCGTAATGCAATTAATTCAAATGCATGTGTTGGAGCACATGCATAGGCACCCTTAGAGACTAACTGGTTCAGACAGGCATGATCTTCATAGGCAACAATCTACTTCATCAGATGCTAGCCAAATCATAGCACCTGACTAAGATGCCTTTGAAAGTTCATGCCTCTCTGAACCAGTTAGTCTCTAAGATGCCACCCTGCTCTACCTTCTGCCTGACTTGTGACTAACATGGCTAACCACCTCACTGCTCATTATTAATAAAATAAGTACATTCAACCTACACTTTGCTCTATGAGAAAAAAAGAAGCCTACTTTTTCTAAGAAATCTAAACAACTATGAGGAATGGAGTTTAAATGAATACTGCAAAGGTCATTAAGTTCAGGAACAGAAATATTGTCAAAACTGGCATCTCTGTTATCAGCATTTTTGAAAACTCTCTCATTGATGGAAATGTAGAGAGTTATTATTTGTGGGCATGTTTTCCACAATATCATGCTATTTGCCAACATGACTAGTATGTACATAGCAGGGCTAATCTGTTCTAATGCATCTTCTGCAAAGATGCCATAAGCAAATTTATTTGTAAATGCCTTCAAGTGAAATCCTTTACTTTTAAGCAACAAATATACTCTGAAAAGTAATTATATAAGAAAGGCAGAATTTTCCTGTGCCATTCTAATTAAAAATATGCTGTTTTCTACTTGTCAGCCCAGCCAACCTAATCTTAGTTCTGCAAGTCAATATGAGTATTTTCTGGTTCCTACCAGCAATGTAGACCCAGCAATTAAAATGTTTGGGGTTGTTTGTTTTTTTTAACAACTGTTCATATGGAGAAAAAAAAATGTAATCCAGAGCTGTGGCGATGATGATCTTAACTATGGCAAACACAGCAAAAACATAGTACTCAGTTTTCAGAGGGGCTGCAAACCTACAGCCTTAGTTAAAATTAATTGGAACTGTAGTTGCTCTGCACACCTTAAAAAAAAACCCAAAAAAAACCAGACAAATCTTTTGTCAGTAAAGTCTGCAGATAAGATTGTGAGAATACACAGAGAAAAAGATCAGAATAAAATGTTGCCATGGTTGCATGTCTTAAACAATTTCCATGAGTTCTCTGGTTTCAGTTCTTCCCTTCCAATTTAATCCTCTAAATTCTCCTTAGATAAGTCAGGGTAGAGTAATTGTACAGGAAGTGATGAGGGGCTGTCCACTTTGTCATTCATTTTGAAACAGCTGTAGTGTTACAACATAACCATTCCACTACTTTTCCTATTTTTGTCACTCCTCTAGTGACCAAGGTTAGATCTACCTTAGCTTAGAAGTGAAATGAGTTACTACATGTATCTTAAGGACCCAATTCTCCCTTCAAAACCATCTGATTTGGAACATAATAGCCTCTGTACAACAGAGGCTGAGTCAATAGAAGGAAGTTTTGTGGATCTGCATTGTGCCACCTGGCATAGCTTAGGTGGGCAAACTTGCACAGCTAAAACAGGCTCAGTGCTGCTGGTTCCTTATTTTTATAAGTTAATGAACATGGAGAAAACGTGTAATTCGTGCTCTTCATACCAACCGTTTATTCAGGCTGTTTACCTATGTATCAGGTGTGACTAATCCAACAGCACTTGATTGTTTTTCTAGAGATAGAAAGATTAATCGTCTGATCAGGAGTCAACCAGTCAACAACACTGCTAACTTTGGGAGAAAAAAAACACTGTTGTTAGATATAAAAATGCTGACAATGTTTAAAGCAGAGAAATTGCAATGATATGCAGGAATATCAAACAGTCAGGCAAAAAATGAGAAAGGGAAGCAGACTGTATAATTGCAGATAGAAGAAAATAATAGGAGAAAAATCTTGGCTGAGAAGTTACAGAGAAGGCCTACTTCTAGAAAAGCTGATAAATGGAAGCAGAAATGGAAGGAGAAATGATGATGCTAAGTCACCTTACACTTACTGAGGAAATAAATCTGAATAATTTTCAACTTGGTTGGACCACTTTCCTCACTTAAAATTATTCTTAAATGGAGGCCTATCTTGCATCCATCATCATCCAGTTCCTAGCCTACTTCACACAGAGCGGAAGTGCGGGCCAGAAAGCTAAGGCAGCAGAAAAATTGGAAGAAAAATATTAATTATTAAGAATAATTAAGAATTAGACCCCAGGTATCTGGCCCACCCACCCACTGCCATTGTAAATGAAGCTAGGATATCTTATTCTCTCAATTTCTCTTTCATTCTCATTCAAAGATACACTCACTAAAACAAATTTGAAATTCCAGAAACCTTTTACATGGAACAACTTCACAGCTAAGTGTATCACAACTTGCTGGGTTCACTCTGGTTGCTACTGAGGTATTTGTGGAAGAAGGCTTGGATCTTCTGCCAAGCATCCACCTGGGCTTCAGAGTGAGCCTTGGGCTCACCTCCCCAGACCACTGTGCTGCCCACCAGCAGATGCATGGAGGCTTCACACATCGGGAAGTACGGGGGCTCAATGTAATGTCCCGCTCCTTCGTAACAGATTATCTCAGGCTTCTCCTTCCCATGAGCCAACAAGCGCTTGGCACCCTCAATGGCAAAGAATTCACTCTTCCAATTACGATCATCTTTGCCAACAATGAACAGAAAGCAGCTATCAGCCTTCTCCAGTGGGATCAAGCTTTGCTGGTTAGGCCCCTCTAGTGGATTGTTCAACGTGTCCACAATATCTACAAGCCCAGACTTGTCGATTTTAAGCCGCTTTCGGTCGAACCCAAGAGGTGGAATGGTGATGTCCTTGTAGCGAAGCACTGCACCCACATTGGCCACAGCTCCATTGATGACAACAGTCGCAGTAATACCTTTTAAGAAGGAGGCCATAGACACACATAGCTCACCCCCTTTGGAGATTCCAAGCAAGCCAACTCCCGGACCTTTAACCTGAAAGGAAAAGAAACTGTAAGGACTATACTGAAACAGTAGTAATCTTACACTGCGGTAGCACCTTCATTTACATGGATCCCCAAGAGCTCATCATTTGAAAACTGCATTTACTTTCCAGAAATCCCTTCATCTTTTAACTGCTGCCACACTTGGAGGAGAGCAGGGCAAACATTTTAACAATGCAGTCACAGTATTAAAACTAACTAACTGATAATAGCTTCTAGGACAAAAATACTTTGGCAATTCAGTCAGAAACAAAGTTTTCTGTGGCAGCCTCTGGTTTTCCCCTCTATTATTCTATCATCTAAATATTGGCTCAGCCCAGCTCTACCTAGCTTACAAGACAGGAGATCACACCTAATCTAATTATAGCCAGAGGAAGCATCCTTTGCATATTAGTGGGTAGTGAATGTCTTTAACAAATTTACAAAGAACTACATACATTTTAAAACACTGACATTCTAGGCCAGGGGTAGGCAATCCCCAGCACGCAAGCCAGGTGGTGTGCAAGAAAATTGTTTTAATTTCCCCCCCCACCCCAAGTTGCTGCTCCGGGCTCTCCAGAGGAGCCACAGGTCCCAGCACTGTGGCAGGCATGGGGGGTAGGGTCAGGAGAATACAGATAGGGAAGCTGTCTGCATTCTGCTGACCCCGCCCCTGTCCCCAGGCTGCGCCCCCCCAGCCTGGCCCAGGCTCTGGAGGGGAGCTGCAGGTGGGCAGGGCTGGGGCCCAGGCAGGCACTGCATAGGGCCACTGCACTGGAGGCTCCCAGCTGGCTCAGCCCCGAGCACCACTCACAGCTGCTGTTCCTGGGGCCCATGGGGCTCCTGTGGCTGGACCCCTGCACCAGGGGCAGCTCTGCCCCACTCATGCTGTGCCCATCATGCAGGGAGGCCAAGCCGGGAGCCCCCCAAACCCGATGTCCTGCCCCAGCCAGGCAGTGCCCCCTCAAAGGCAGGGTAGCTGTGGACCATCCCCATGGAGCTGCATGGGCCAGGCTCAGTACCTTGGTCTGCCTGCCAGCTTTAGGCCAAGCCTGCACAGCTTCAGGGCAGCCCCTGCTTTCCATGTAGTTCCCATTCTCTTCTGGCTGCTACCTTCCCAAGGGCCAGACCAGGCTGGCCTGCCTGTGGTGCCTCCGTGCCCCCTCAAAGGCAGGGTAGCTGTGGACCATCCCCATGGAGCTGCATGGGCCAGGCTCAGTACCTTGGTCTGCCTGCCAGCTTTAGGCCAAGCCTGCACAGCTTCAGGGCAGCCCCTGCTTTCCATGTAGTTCCCATTCTCTTCTGGCTGCTACCTTCCCAAGGGCCAGACCAGGCTGGCCTGCCTGTGGTGCCTCCCCGCCGCACCTACTTCTTCCTGTACTGCCCTGGCCCCGGCGTTTCGCACCCCAGTGCCAACCTCGTCCAGATGGAACGGGGCATCTGTCTGCCCAAGCCCCAGGGTCCATCCACCCACTGGGAGCCTCCAACACTGTGGCCCCCTGCAGCACGTGCCCGGGCCCTGGCCTCACCTACCTGCAGCTCCCTGCCAGGGGCTGGAGCCCAGGTCTGGACAGGCACTGCAGAGTGCTGCTGCGCTGGACACTCCCAGCCAGCTCGGCCCTGAGAGCTGCCCACGGAGGCTGTTCCCAGGACCTGGGGGGGCTTTTGCAGACAGGCACTGCAGCTGGGCCCTTGCACCAGGGACAGGCACTGCAGCTGGGCCCTTGCTCTGCCCCGCTTGCACTGTTTCCAGCACGCAGGGAGGCCGAGCCTGGAGCCAGGAGCTCCCTGAGCCCAGCGTCCTGCCCTGGCCAGGTGGCATCCCCTCATGGGCAGGGCAGCTGTGGTCCATCCCTGCAAAGTTGCGCAGACTGAGTCAGGCCTCACCTTGGGAGGGAGCCACTGGGTCCCTGCCTGCCCGCTAGAGCCCAAGTTTGCGGAGCCCCAGGGCAGTCCCCGCTTTCCGCCCAGCCTCCACTCTCCTCTGGCTGCAGCCTTCCCAAGGGCCAGGGCGGGCCAGCCTATCCACAACACCTCACCCTGAGCCTCCCAGATGCTGCTCCCACCCATGTGGGATGGGGTGTCTGTCTTCCTGAGCCCTCCCTCCCAGCCTTGGGCTGGGCTCCCTCTGCTCCAGGATAGTTGGGGAACCCTAAGCACTCTGGCCCTGGAGGCTACTGCTGGAGTGTCACTGCCTCCATCCACTGGACACTGCCCCGGGCCATCAGGCCCAAGTTGCAGCCGGTAGCAGTGGGAGATGCGGGCAGTCAGATACCCCATCCTATCTCTACGGGGCTGGCACCGGGGTGCGAAATGCCAGGGCAGCTCTTGGGGCCAAGCCAGGAGCCCCCCAAACCTGATGTCCTGCCCCAGCCAGGCAGTGCCCCCTCGAAGGCAGAGTAGCCGTGGCCCATCCCCCTTTCTTTTTTTCTCCTCTCACTTCTCTCTTTTTTGCTCCTTTTCCCTCTCTTCTTTCTGTCCCCTTTTTTCTATTTTTCTCTCTCGTCTTTACCTTATTCTCTATTTCTTTTTGCTCTCTCTTCTCTTTCCCCTCTTTTTTCTCTCTCTCATCACAACATGCTTAACAAAAAAAAAAAAAAAAAAAAATAAACCAAAAAAATGGCAGTATATGAAGTTTTATTTATTGTCACCCAGTTTAGAATGTTTAGAAAACCTGGTATTTACTGTAAAAAAACCCAACCATTTATGATTAACTATATTAATATGCAGCGCGTCCCACCATGTAACCCCCGCCCCAGTTTTGTTTTTCTGGCATGCCGGTACTCCACTACCTTACAAGGTAGACACTGCAGTTTTTTTGGCACTCCAGTCAAAAATGTTGCCTACCCCGTTCTAAGCGGTTTTCAGCTATGAGTTGGTGAAAGGGGAAGACCTATATTTTAAATAACAACTCTCAGTAAAATTATCTTAAGCAGGTGTTAAGTTTGACTGCATGTCAGAAATTTAAGAGGACAACAGATTAGAGGTGCTGTTGTAAACCACAAGTCTCTGCATGTTACATCTTTCCTGCTCTAGCTTCAGCATTAAAGATGCAACTTTTATCTCACTAACAGTCCCCAGCTATGGAACCAGCTTTTGCTCCAGTGACAGATAAGAGTTGTGCTTGTACCTCTGGAGATCTTCAAGCCAATACTTACATCAGATAAGATGGAGTCTGGTAAAGTAACAATCCCCAAAACAAGCATTACAAATTCAGGAAATGCACTATTGGGGGTATGGTTATAATGAAATCTTTAGTCTCGACAGACATCTGTATGGGTCAGACTCATGGAGGAGCAACAAATTTACCCAACAGAAGTTTAACCAGTCTTCAGTGTGGATGTCTGTGCCGTTCAAAAGCACAACTGTCACAGAGAATAAAGAATGGTGAGATCTTAGAGTAAGTGCAACTCCCCACAACTGCCTGAATAGCATAGCCCAAATGGCTGAGTCACCTTTGCCAGGTCATAGTAATTCTGGACAACAGGCTCTCTAGAGAAGCCCTGTTCTGATGATTCCAAGTCCAAAGAAAGACAGGTAGATGATGGTAGCAGCAGCTTTACAGATCAACGATGAAAAAATGAAAGCAACTGGCCAAGGATATTATTGGTTGGTATTGACCAATCTCTCCCCCACTTATATGATAGTGCAAAAAAGTGGGCACATTCAAGAGAAATACACATGTGGAAAACTACTAACAAGACAGACTTTAAAACAGATCATTGTTGAGAACCTAAAGCACTAAGTGATTACCAAAAGCCACAACCAGCTACTAGAGACTGCAATACCAGACTGGAGAGTTTAAATTTATAGTAGTGATCATGATAGCTTTTTCCAGCCCCCCAATAAGTGTGGGGACTCCTTTGAACCACAGATCAAAGCAGCTTATCATGCATAACAAGGTCACAGATTAGTTACCTAATCACAGCCATCTAGAAAAAGATTAAAAACCCTCTGGACAGCTGAGAAAAACCAATGCCACCGGTTCCTGCTCACCCCTCAGAAGAAACAGATAAAGTGTAGTGGAATTTGCTAGTGGTGGACAAAGCACTCTGCTCTCTGACAGGAAATGGTCAACTGACCTGTCACAGAGGATTACTGACACATGAGGGAAAGAAAGATACAAACCAAGTAGATAATAACAGAATTCAACAGAACCTGTACTTTAGCACAGCAGCTGTGTCCAATGCAGCTTCCCAACAACTTTGGGATATGAACCCTGTGTGTTGGGGAAAGAGCAATCCAATGAACTAACCTGAGGGTGTTCCAGCATGTAGTTTACAGCCTCCTCAAAGTACTCCAGGTGGAATTCTGTCATCTCTTTAGGGAGGTCTTCATAGTTATAGTAAGCCAGGGCTAAGGTGGCAAAGCCATGATTGGCCAGCAGGCATGCCCTGTATTCTGGCAGCCCTCCACCAGTTCCATACAGGTCAATAATTCCAGGAAAAGGGCCATCTCCTGTAGTAAATGAGATAAGCAGCTTCCCTTTGATATTGCCCTCTTATAAAATAAATAACTATAGAACACTAGATTCCTATATTTTCTATCAATTCTCAGTAAACTGCTAAATACTTTAGAGATTAATCTAAGTTGCACAGGACAGCAGATCTGCTACACTGCCTGCAGGTATAAATAATACAGAAACTCCCAAATTAACAACAATGGATGCAGCACTAGAAGGGACCCCTTGGCTTGCCAAGTCTAGTCCTCTGCTATCAAAGGCAAGCATGTCATACAATCCAATTCAAATTTATCACAATCCATTTTAAAAACTACCTAGACTGACTGTTTGCTCCCATTACAGTACACCCATTGGAAGGCTGCTGTAAAACCAGGCTCCTTTGAAGACTGGAATTGTTCTCCTGGTTCCTAGCCTCAGGTTACTCTGGGATCATTTTTAATACCCATTTATTCTTGAGCTACCACTGTCCTTTACCTTAAGAAGCAATTCTCCCTGTACATACAAGGTCTTCATAAAGTCCTTGTGTACAACTTATTAAAGTTTAAAAGTGCACAAGGACTTTATGAAGACCTTGTATGTACAGGGAGAATTGCTTCTTAAGGTAAAGGACAGTGGTAGCTCAAGAATAAATGGGTATTAAAAATGATCCCAGAGTAACCTGAGGCTAGGAACCAGGAGAACAATTCCAGTCTTCAAAGGAGCC